GGGGGGGTTGTGTTCTGTAGCGTTTCCCCTCGTATTATCCAAGAGTGGACGACGCCATCATCACATGACGCACCCGTGAAGGTCATGGCATATCATCAGTTAATGTCTGAATGTGTTTGCACCCAACCAGTTCACTGTGTCTGAGGGAGACTCCAAAGCAGACGCATAACCAACCCCTCGCCCGCCTCCTGCACCAAGCCCCCAACCTCCCTGGGACTTTTTAACAAAAGTTGAACATGGTAATGTGCACTGGACAAAGTGACGGGCCTTGCTGCGATGCATGCATCAATGTGTCCAGAGCATCATCATTAGTGTAACAAACAAGTCTGCACTAGCAGAGCACACACCAGGAAAAATGTCTCAACCTACCTAACCACCCCCAAAACATCTGTGGTTCTCAGTGAACATGGCAAAAACCAGTCGCCATCAGATTACTGGCTCCCACATAGGTTGGGAACCTGTAACTGCACGACTGGACTGATAAGTCGGTAAATATACGTTATGCCTCTGTTTCCATTTTGTGTACAGGGATGTAACGCGGGCCCATCGAGTGGTTGAACAGCTCAAAGCTGGTTCCTGTTTCATCAACAACTACAACATCACTCCTGTGGAGGTGCCATTTGGAGGCTTCAAGATGTCAGGTAGTCTGGCACCAACGGGAACAGTGCACATACGCACGTAAAATACACACACTTCAGACTTGTGGTGAAAATGTGCTTACCTCGATGCAAACGTCAGTATCAAAGTATAAAGTACTGAAACTCTCCTAAATACACCAAAATATGACTCCTCAGTTTCCTGAACCCAGCGAGCGTTAAAACACTTTCTCATGAGTTTGAGCAATTATAGCTTCAATTGGAACAATGAGCCTCATGCAACACGTCTCTAAAATAATCAAAACTTAAATTTTTGTCACAAGTAGATGTAAACACACAGTAGTGACCGCACACCTGTGAGGAGCAGATGAGGCTCATAAAATATATGTGAGCTGTAAGAACTTCCATTCCCACGAGAAAAGAAACCGTCAGAGCAGCGTGTTGATTCAGAACTCCCCTCTGATAAATCAGCTCCACAAGGTGCAGACCATCACGTGTCCATAAATGGCTGCATAAAGCTGCATGTAACTGTGGAAAGATGGAAGCTGTGGTGCTGCTGAAGAACATCAACAGAAGAATTGGGAGGCAGTGAGTTTTGGGTTATCACACTGACCAAATACTGATGGGTCGTCCCTGAGTCGTGCCTTGCCATCCACGATGCCCGGATTGATCAAATTCCACTACACCGTGGCTGAAACACCCTGGTGATGCACAGCTACTAATTTTTTTGACAATTATTTAAAAAACTCAAGCCCCTGAACTCTTCCGTGTTGACAGTAATTATGGTGACGTAACGTTGGATATGACTCAGCTTTAGAAGTGCGCCACCAGCAGATCAGCTCCCCACAACAGGAGCTTCACACTTTTATTACTCCTCCGTGCACGCGTGGCGTGGCTAACATGTTTTTACACCTCACTAAATTATTTAGGAAGGCCTTTGACTCACATTCTATGAACGTCCTCATTTTTCTGCATCTACATGGGATGTAGGAGTCTGAGTCGCTGGCCTGTCATGGCGGCCATCTCCACGATCCTCCAGCTGCCTGCACAGACCCAACTCTACGGAACAGTTCTGTTCTGTGGGGAACTTTGGATGTTCTGTTTGCCGGACCCGGTTCTGGAGGGCAGTCATCGTCTGCTGCTGCGGTTGTCATCATCATCATCATGCTGCTAACAGGACCACACTGCTAGCAGTAGTGGTGTGGACTCAAGTCACATGACTTGGACTCGAGTCATTAATATTATGACTTTAGACTTGTCCAACAAAGTTCAGTCAGGTCCTCTGCACAGTTTGTGTCTTGTCTCAAAGCGTCCAGAGGACCTGACTGAACTTTGTTGGTTTATTACCTGGATTATTGAGCATGAACTTTGAAGACTTTGGACTTGATCCAAAAAAATGATCAGACTTATGACTTGGACTTTTACACCAATGACTTGGGACGACTTGGACTTTGACCCGTTTTCTTGAAAATACTTGATGTTTTACTCATAATCTAAAGTTTAAAACGCATATTTAAAAGTCCAGATGACCTGACTGAAAATTGTTGGATTGTATACCTGGATTATTGAGCATGGACTTTTTTGGTTTTGAACCAGTTTGACATGACTGTCGGCGAGGAAGAGAGCCGGCCACAGAGGAGGGGGCGTACCAAAGACACCATCTTAGCACCAACATAACTGGTTTGTTCCACTTTGGAGTAAGCTGTTTGGGGGAAGAATCAGTTTTGTGTTATGTGTTTCCTTGACTGATGAAGCCTTCTGGATAGAAGGTGAAACGTTTCAGCACAAAAAAAGAAACAGTCCAGATGACCTGACTGAAAATTGTTGGACATATTTAAAAGGTGCGCCCCATTAATTAATTTCACTCATTCTGCTGACGATGATTCTCACTCAACCAGGATTTGGTAAATCCAAAGAAGATTAAAGGCAAAAACAACTGGACTCCTGTTCTGTAGCTGAAGACACTTCTCCTCATCCAAGGAGCTTTCTCAATTCAAAGAACAAGGAGTGTGGGGTTCAAGTTATAAAGCTGAGATGTTCTGTAGGATGGATTCACCTGCAGATTGTCCTCTCACTCCTCACAGTAGAGGATCATTAGGGTCTTTGTAAGTCTGGTCACATGAATGAAGGTCCTGATTGGGGTGAAAATCACTTTGTATCAGTCCTAGAGCTGCATTATAAATTTTTGAAAGTTGAAATCTGAGGCGTCCTCCTGTTTAAAGATGATTTCTCTCTTTTTTACATAAACAGCTTCCTTCAACCCTCTCAAACCATCTGTGTTCTCCGTCCAGAATGTGAACATTTTGGTCCTCAAATGAGTATCCCTTATCCCTGAGGTGTAGTTGAACTGCTGAGTCTTGTCCTGAGGAGCTGGCTCTCCTGTGTTGAGCCATGCGTCTGTGAAGAAGCCGTTTGGGTTCTCCAACGGAGATCTGAACATTCCTCGCTGCACTGGACTGCAGACAGCACACCACTCTGTGTTTGGCTGTTTCATCCTTAGGCTGGACCAGCCTCTGTCTGAGAGTCCTGTTGGGTTTGAAAGTACACAACATCCCAGTACTCATCCCAGTACTATTCTTGAAGCTAAGTTTAACTGAACTGTGCAATATCAAGGGGCAATTTTAGAAGGACTTTTGTAACATTTTGTAAATTCAGGAAAGGACTTGAAATTCAAAGTTTCAGACTTGGGATTGACAGTTGTCTGTCTTGACCTTAGACTTGACTCAGGACTTGAGGATAAAGACTTGAGACTTGCAAAACAATGACTTGGTCCCACCTCTGGCTCGCAGTACCATGCTGCTACAGTAACACTATTTTTATTTTAACTGTTGTCTGTGTAAAACAAGTCTCTCTTAAAATGAGTCCTCGTGACTCAGTGAGACTAACTTGTCTAAATAAAGATTGAATTAAAAAGGTGCGCAGGAACATGCGCACACACCGGCTTGATGAATCTGAATATTTTAATGTGCATGCTCTTTTCACATTTTGTCCCTACACCATCTTGCGGTGTGAAAGCTGCTTGCTGTCCTCTTTCCTCCAGGTATAGGGCGAGAGAACGGCCAGGTGACGGTAGAGTACTACTCCCAGCTGAAGACCGTGTTTGTGGAGATGGGCGATGTGGAAAGCCTGTTCTAACTACAGAAGCGCAGGAAGCTGCAGCTGGAGCACTGAGCCAGCTGAACGAGTTGGGCTGGACCAGCTCACTGTCTGCCATCATGCAGGAAGACCAACATGAAGCTCAGCTGCACACGTTCAAGAGGAAACGAGCCTGAAGGACGGGGTCATTTAGTGCAGAAACATGGTCAGTTTGTATTTAATACCAACTAAAGGGATCATAATAAAGTCTTCTGGACTAGGATTGATTTATCTATTTGGTAAATGACTTTCAGATTTTGATTCGTTATATGAAATATTGCCATATTAGATTGAAATATAAGAATTTAAACATTTCTATAACAAATGCAAAAAGTTGTTTATAAATCAAGCTTTATTTTTAAATTAAACATTTGTATTCTTTTACACACAGGTGTGAGAACAAATAAAACATTTGTTTCATGTTTTGATCAAACTTGTCCAGAGTATTAATTTTAAACTTAAACTGTGACGCCATGGTGCACTGTGGCCGTCTGGACATCATTCTAACACAAACTGAAACATTTGTAGAGAACTATTAACAAATTAATCAAAATGTTGAGCTTCCTCGGCTAAATTATCTTCTTCTTTGACAGATTTTTGAGAGCGGCTTTCCTCTGAGAAACAAAAGAAGATGTTTTAACTTGTATTACACTGACTCTGTCGTATTATTGTGTTGTATAACTCGACCGTACCTTCGCCAGTGATCTTCTAGGTTTCTTGAACTGTGCAGACTCTGGAGGACAGTTTACAGTGTAAATAAAAATGAGATGAGTTGTTGTTTTTAATAAAACAAACTTACCATCGCCAGGTGGAAGGTCTTCAGTAGCACCAGTTTTCTTTGGTCCACCCTGTTGGATATTTGTAAAGACGTCAAGAAAAACTGACAAATATTCAGACACTATCATCGTTTGCAGATTTCCTGTGTTGCAGCCTAAAACCATTATTTTTTCTACAATAATGTGCACTCAGTGAAGTAAAAACAGAACTTTATGAAATTATTTTTAACAATCATTTAAATCTTCTAATTGGTTTTGAACTAACCGAATCAGTAAAAATGAATGTTATACCTGTTTCACACTCGTCGAGTTGGAAAAATATGATGAATCTAAATATACTGTAAATAATGTAATGATTTGTAAATCTCAGAATACAGTATTTTACTCACAATATATCATAATCATCTCAACTGCTTGAACTAATAAATTTTTTAAAGGTTAATTTTGAATTGGATGGCAGCAGCAACCAGGAGCAACAAAAGGCTGTAAAATAAGATGTGCAAATAAAAATAAATAAAAAAACAGCTGGAGCTTTTTACAACTATGTCAGCTGGCAACTGGTCAGGAAGAGGACTCTGTATTAACAGAATTTGAATCTCTCAGAAGAAGTAACGACCGTGAGGGTTCACCAGTCTGAAAAACTGCACGTAACGAAGTTTTTTAGAATCTTTTTGTTCATATTTCTTAAAAATATTATCTTTGCTTATACAGAGACAGTCATTACACAATAACTATATATATATATGATATAAATGTGTCTGTTGGACTGTTCAGTCCCAGTTGCTTTTGTCTGTATTCCAGTGAACGCGCAGTATTTTAACTGTTCTGTTAACTGGACCGTACCTTTGCCTGTGGTCTTCTTGGTTTCTTGAACTGTGCAGACTCTGAAGGAGAGTTCAGTGTCAATAAATCAAATAGAGTTTTGTTTTAAACATAAAAATTATAAAAACTTACCATCCTCAGATGGAAGGTCCTCTTCAGCATCAGTTTTCTTCGGTCCCTCCTGTAACACGTGGTGCAAAGACGAGAGAAACTGACATACAGTATACAGAATTTACAAATACAACAGTATCCAGCCTGATTTTACAATTCTATACATTATTTCTTTTCAGTAATCAATTCAGTCTTGATTTAATCAGATGGAAGAATCTTGTTCATCTCGAGTGTAAAACTGACGGCATGTGTTCACAGTCCGAGTCCTTTAAGCTGAGTAGAAACCAGCTTCTCTCTAACGCCCAGATCAGAGAAGAGCTGAAGCTCTAGTTGTCCTTCTGCTCCCATCTCCACTCAGAGCTCAGTGACCATCAGGTTCTTGCTCAATGTAGCTGAGAGCCCAGCTTCTGGAAGACTAGCACCTCTGGTTGTGCCAAGCTTCTTTAAATTGAGGATTATGGAGCCCACAAAGCTCTTAAATACTTTCAGTGCAGCAAAAGCATATTTATAGACTTCCTGTGATCTGTGCGTACAACAATCCTGTCTCTGAGTTCTGCTGTTCCTTTTTTTTTTTTTTAAATGCAACTGTTTTGGTTGTCCATAACATACGCCTGCCCATACCATAACTCCTCCGCCACCATCTTAATTCACAACGTTGACATCAGCAAACCGCTCACCCACACCATACACACAGTCTGTCATCTGCCCTGTACAGAGAAAACCATGATTCATTGTGAAGAGGTCACTTCAACAACATGCCATACACCATCAAATGGGAGCGTTTGCTCGATTTTATTATTCTAATAGAATATTCTATTCGGTTATGACGACGAAATGCAGTCAGAGGGAGACACCGATGAGGACATCGAGCATGCAGAAGAGCTTCCTGAGACGGTTTGTGCAGAAATTCTTTGATTATGCAAACCGATTGTTGCAGCAGCTGTCCAGGTGGCTGCTCTCAGACCATTTTGGGGGGTGAAGATGCTGCATGTGGAGGTCCAGGGCTGCACGTGTCTAGAGGTTGTGAAGCCAGTTACACGTACTGCTAAATTCTCTGAAACGCCTTTGGAGACGGCTTCTGGTGAGAAATGAACGTTCAGTTCATGGACAGCAGCTCTGGTGGACATTCCTGCAGTCAGCATGGCAGCTGCACGCTCCCTTAAAACCTGTGACATCTCAGTGTTTCCTCTAAGCCACTTGCCTTGGCAGAGTGCTCATCGCTTCAGGGATTTTTGTCGGGGAGAGAGCAAGACAGAGACACATCTGTGATTTGTGATGTGAAACTTTGCATCTGTGGCATTGTGCTGTGATAAAACTGATCATTTTTACAGTGGCCTTTTATTGTGGTCAGCCTAAGGCACACCTGTGCAACAATCACGCTGTCTAATCAGCATCTTGATATGCCACACCTGTGAGGTGGATGGATTATCTCAGCAAAGGAGAAGTTCTCATTAACAGATTTAAACTAATTTGTGAACAGTGTTTGAAAGAAAAAGTCCTATTGTGCAAAAGTCTTGGATCTTTGAGTTCAGCTCATGGAAAATAGGAGCAAAAACAGAAGAGCTGTGTTTATATATTTTTGTTCAGCGTGATCAGAAGTGCGCTCCTATCCAAATGAAGTCCAGTCAGTTTAATTTATCACAGGTGGACTCCAGTCAAGGTGTAGAAACATCTCAGCAGAGATCAAGAGAAATAGGGTGCACTTGAGCTAAATTTGAAGTGTTTAAAATATCTGTATAACGTATAGAATTTTTGTTTTTTATTAAATGTATTTAATTGTTTAAAATTGCTTTATATTTTGATATTATTGGTACTGAGAGTTAAATAATCAGAAGAAAATTAATTTAAACTGTAAAATCAGGCTGAAAAATAGCAAAGAAGGTGAAGGTCAGAATAAATACTGTCTGAAGCTACAGTAAAAATAGAAAAGTTACAAAAAAGATTGAAAAGACGTGAGTTATTTGAGAAAATGAGCAGCAACGTTGTGTTTCTTACTCTACTGTTTTCTCTCTCAACCTTCATCGTTTCCCCTTCAGGAGAAGCCTGCTTTGAATCCTTCACATAGTTCCCTTTCTGAAGTTTCTCCACCTGGCCTTGTTCCACCGACACACGGACTCTTAGAGAGTGGAAGGCTGTGTTCACCTCGCCCACTTTGAAGTGCACGGGCATTCCTTCAAACCACAGGCGGTCACACACCCCTTCCTTGAAGCCCGGTGGTTGGTAGTCTTCAGGAGTGACTTTGAAGGAAGAGCAAGAAAACCATCATGCAATCAAATAATTCATCGTTGGTGTAATCGGCTTCTTACAACGTTCTCCTTCCATCTTTCACAACATTGTCCAAGAACTAGGTGTGCGTCAGGAAAACTAATAAAACTTCTTATTTAGAATTTTTAACAGTGCCCTAGAAGTCCTAATTCAATAAATCGTCGAAGGTAACGTGTCTTACTGTCGTCATAGTAGTACAGCTTCATGGTGAGGTAGACATTGTTAGGAAGGGCGTCCAGGTTCTGCATAAGCAGGAAGAGTTTCCTGATGAGCAGCACTGAGGCTTTTTTGGTGTCTTCCAGAGTGACCTGTAACTCCATATCATTGTTCCTGTGTGCGTTCACAAAAATGACATTATTTCAAATAACGTAGACCATGTCTAGATGATGAGTGCAAAATTAATCAACTCAAACCGGAGTATGTCCATCTCTGGTCCATTTTCAGTGTATCTGAAGTTAAACTGATAAGACTCAACGATACACTGCAAATTAGAAAACATAAAACAATGTTTAAAAATGTGATTGCATGTTGCTCACGTTCACACATTTAATAAATACAAAGTATTGTAAGAGACAACTTACATTAGGGTTCTCTGGATTGGTGTAGACCTGGATTGCAACAAAAATAACGCTGTGAACTTCATGTAGCTAAAATTGACATGAACTCTACTTTTTTGTGAACTAATTCTAGTGTACTCACCCCGATGCATATAATCTGGAGCTGTCGAGTGGATGTGATTTAGTAAAAATAAGAGTATTGGTCAAACTAGTACAACAGCTGAAATGTTTAACATTTTAAAGTAGATGCAATTGACTTACATACTGCTTTTCCAAAGCATCAAAGCAGCCCATCATCCTGGACAAATTAAAAAATAGTAGTCTCACAAAAAGCTGACTGTACATGTGAATATTCCCATCAAAACCTTGATCTGACAACTAGTTTGCAAAAGCTTCAACTGCAACATTTTATGAATTTTATACCACATAAGCAGAAAAGGTTTATTTACCATTTCACAATTTTGTTAGCGCCAGAGGTGTTACAGTTTTCACGCAAAACTTTGATGCACAAATCTAGGAAAATAAGAGGACAGAAACAATTCAGTAAAACAAAATCTAATCGCAACCACAGTTACTTGCAAGTTTTTGCAATCTGCTCAATTTTGCATTTTTGCACCTTACACATTTTATATCTTTACTGCTATAAAAATAGAAAAACTGTACTCTGCTAACCACAGATATGTTTCTACCTCATGTACCACCTGTACTAATCTACATGTGTCTCTTAATTACGTGTTTAGATTTGGAATGTTTAGATTAGGTTAGATGTCTTTTTGCATTTGTTATAGGACTGTTTGTATTTATTGTACTGTTGAGTATCTGCACTGTGTGTTGTATTGTTTTTACACGATATGTTGTGTGTTGCATCGTGATCCTGGAGGAACACTGTTTCATTTCTTGTATGCTGCTGAAATGACAATAAAACCTCTCAAGACTCTGAGATCATTTAATGTTTTTCCCTTGGTGCGTTTAAAAAAAGCAACTACTTGTGTATTTTTAAAGACTGCTTAATATAATTTCAGACAAACCCCTGCGATGTGACCTGAATAAAATTCCTGATATTCCAAAATGGACCATTTGTTCACGGCTCACCTTCCAGATATCTGGACCTGTAGGCATACTCTGGGAAAATCCCTCTCAGATAAGTGATGGACGACACAGCCACAGCCATCATCCTCTTGATAAAGATCAGAGATGCTTGTTTGGTTTTTAAATCATTCAGGAACAACCCAGTCCACTTCAAAAAATGAGAAAACCAACAGAAACACGGTGAAGTGGCGGAACATAACTCATCACGGCCACACGGTGTCGCTTTTGGCGAGTACCATCTCCAACAGACTGAAACATGTCATATACACAAATACTGATTAAGAGTAAAACATCACATTTAATAAGTTACAGTTAGTTTGTTTAAGGTGTGTTCAGACCTCTGCAGTTTCCTCCTTGTTTCCTCGGATACACAACTTTCCAGCCGCCATGTTTCCTAGCTTCTGTAGTGTTAGCTTAGCTTACGCTAACGATTAGCAAAATGCGCTAACATCAGCAAATCTAATTATTTAGTAAAGTCCAGGTCTCTAACCTCTACAGTAATCTTTCTGTAACTTCACTCTCGGTTGAAAAAAAAAAAAAAAATATATATATATATATTTATAAATTTTATATATTGAGTGTATAGGCCGGTTTTCAATTGGAAAAAAATTAGCAACAGCTTTAGCTTTACTCCAGCTAGGCTCTCGCGACCAACTTTCCCCGCCCAAAACTGGACCAAGTGTTCTGCTTTAGCTTGAATGAACGAAACAAACCTTTTGTTAATATCTTCAATATTTTATTTTAAATGAACTAAAACAATATTTTGTTTATTTTCAATATTTATTTTCAACAACTAGTGGACCAGAAGTACTTTTGAGTTAGTTGTAAAAGTACCTTAATTTCATGCGAAAAGTTTTTAACATATGGCATATTCCAATAAACCCAGCCTTAATTATTATACTTATCACTGTTGAGTCATTTTCACTTTGGTTGAAGACCGTTTGTTTAAAGAATATTTAGTGTTTTACTTTTTCAAACAGGTGTTTTCTGTTGGTTCCAAAAGTTGGGGTCCACTATGCAATGGTTCCCAACTCTAGTCCTTGAGGAACACCATCCTGCATGTTTTAGTTATTTCCCTGATTTGAATAAATGGGTAGTTAGCAGGCTTCTGAAACTTCAGGAAGTACAGGAATCAAATCACTGGATCAGGTGTGTTGGAGCAGGGAAACAAGTAAAACATGCAGAATGGTGTTCCTCGACAAGGACCAGGGTTGGAATGGGAACCACTGCAATATGGATCATGAAACCCTAAGATTTTTAGACGCTCATCAAAAAATTAATTAAATTTAAAATGTTTGCTAATGACAGTTCTGCCATAATTACAAGATTTAAAAAAACACTTTAAAAAAAGGGAAGCAAATACTGTTGAATCCATTAGTTTTGATTCTGCCTTTAAGTCAATGTGCATCAGTCACTTGTAACCTTTAGTCAGTGATAGTTGATGTTGCAGAACGGTTGCTTGAGGCTGACTGGGAACTGCTGGTTTATACTAATAAGAGCTTTTAATTAAACATTATATATTGCATAAACGTTCAAGTGTCAAGAGTAGATCACTCAAAGTGCCAATCAATGCTGAAAAGAAATAAAATATTAAGTTTACTCACTTGACGAACATTGTTTTTAATATATCATTAAAGATTTTGGACACAAGTCAACATGGGTCTTTTAACATTTTTATTACGTTTGACCAGGTGTGTGTGAAAAGTCTGGCATTAAAATAAGTAACGTGCTCTTTATTCAACACTATAAAATATAACAGTAAATGTGGAACACATGTATTGAATGAAATAACTTTTCTTTACTGTATTAAAAATAAACCCACTGAGTACAGGTGGTTAGCATCAACAGACGTGTCTGTAGTTAATATTGAAGATCTGTCCAAAAATAAACCTGACACTACCACAACAAAATTATACTTCCACCCAAGTACACAGTTCAGCCTACAAACAGGATACATAAAACGTTGCCTGCTGACCTAATATTGTTGGAAATCAAATCACAAGATTAAATCTCCTACAACAGGCAGCAGACTCTGGCCTTGGGTTTATTACTGCTTAGAGAAGAAATCTTTGCTTTTCTGGACATCGGGCTTGATGGTGTCACTTCCTGGTTTCCATCCGGCTGGGCAGACTGAAAAGATAAGCCTGTAATGAGTACTGGCTGGTAGATCACACAAAAACAGATGTTCCAATATGACGCGTGCACAGTTTAAACCTCGCACAGCTCATACACAACGAGTATCAAGAAACACATCAGATGTTAAACAAAAGGTATTTGTGCCACATTCTGTAAAAAATACTGTAAATTAAGCAAAACAAGTTTCTAATGATAGTCTATTTTCACAATGGGCATGCTTGAGTCATAAACTGTAATTGATGAGAGTTTTAATTCAAATAAAAAAACGTTTTAGCACGACAAAGCAGTTGTAACTGACCTTCTCCGTGTTTGTCGGTGAACTGAAAAGCTTGAACCAAACGCAGGGTCTCTTCAACAGAACGACCGACTGGGAGGTCATTGATGGTGATCTGCCTCAGGACGCCCTTGTCATCGATGATGAACAGGCCCCTAACATAGAGGAGAAAACATGTTTTTGTAACTCCAGCTGCTAACGATAAATTAGCAGGAATGATTCAAATCACTTGCACCGTTGAGCACCTTTAACGTGACGCACGTCAGCCCACCTGTAAGCGATGCCTTCGTCCTCCTTCAGCACGCCGTAATCTGTGGAGATGGTGCGCCGTATGTCGGACACCAGCGGGATCTTCATCGAGCCCAGGCCGCCCTGTTTTCGCGGCGTGCTGGTCCTTTAAGAACGCGCACATACAAAGTGAGCGCAGAGCGATTGCAATGACAGTGAATGTTGTGTTTTGTCAGGTACCATGCAAAATGAGAGAAGTGAGAGTCTACAGAGGCAGCAATGACTTCACAGTCAATCTTCCTGAATTGGTCAGCAGCGTCACTGAAGGCGATGATCTCAGTCGGACACACAAACGTAAAGTCCAGTGGGTAGAAGAAAAAGACAACATACTTTCCTGTATCAGAGAAAAAAATATATATAAAAAGACAGTTTAATGTGTCATCATTTTATAATACTGTAATTTCTGAACTATAAGCCACTTCTTTATTCACACTTTGAACACTGCAGCTTATACAATGCCACGGCTAATTTTTATTTTTTTTATTTGACAAGCTTCATGTCGCCAAAACATTTAGCCTCGTCACACCCGGGCGCCCAATACATGTCTCTCTTGGGAGGTGGACCCTCGTGACTCATCGAGACTACCTGTATAAATAACGGTTAAACAAATAATCTGACCAATGAAATTACCAAACAGGTCACAATGAAACTTGTTGTCATTGGTCCATGCTCTTCTTCTCTCCTTCCCTCCCCGTTGTGCCCCCAGGGAGGGGGGGACATGATGAAGAGGACAGCACAAGCTCATGTGCACAGTGTGCAGTGTATACATGTGTGTGATGCGCAGGAGGAAGTTGAAGATAGTGATCAATGACTTCCTGGTAGGCTACTGTATTTTTATTTTTTACCAGCTGTTACAGGCACTGTTCAGAAGAAAACATTTACTGTATTTGCATTTAATTAAAAGTTTATCTTTCTGTGTAAATATCTCGTTACAACGTGGACACTCACGGCTTATACACAATGAGGCCTATATATGTACTAAAAAATAATTTTTAAATTTAGTGTGCGCAGCTTATGCTCAGGTGCGCTCAACAGTCCGGAAATTACGGCAATTTTTTCATTGTATTAGCATTTGTTAAATACTATACGACATGCTCAGCACGTGGAAGCTGAAGCTGGTATACCTCTGTAATCTGACAGCTTTAGGTCTTTAAAGTCTCCTTCTGGCATCATCGCTTTCGCTGTGAAGTCTGGGGCTAGATGTCCAATTCTTGCTTTGCCTGCAGCCATCTTCAGTCAGATTGGATCGCACTGAAACAACACGGACTCTGTTACAAATGAGGCACTGTGGAAACCGTCGATCTGGTTGTGTAGAGCCTTGAACACGATGAAGCAAGTACAGAAACTATAAGCACAGTCTTTGTTTTCTGTTTTGTAGAAGCACCATATAATAAAATATACCAAAAATACCATGGGCGCAATAAAAAGATGAAAAGTTGGTAATGATAAATTTCACGTTTGCTCAAAAATGATGATTACATTTTATAACAGACCTGACAGAATTTAGTTTTACGAACTTAAAATGTGACGTCCAAACATAAACTTAGAAGAGATGGAGGCTTGTTGAATATTTAACATTAAACACAATTTAAACTGGAATATGATGAGTTGGTCCAGCAGCAATAACAGATCATGCCCTCGGGTGTCATCATATTTTAGCCTACTCTGTAAATGAACTGAACTCATTGAACACTGACAGATCCACACCCTGTGGCTTCAAAACAGACATTTACAGAAACCTTTATTTCCACTTCTCTCTGGTCACAGGTGTTTCCGCAAAATGAAAACGACCCTTTTTTAATCAACGGTTCTTCTTTTAAACTGTTTGTTTAGAAACTTTACAACCTTATAAAAGTAGCTTTTACACTGGAGAGATGCTGAGGTCACAAAGATGTCGAAATATATGTAAACTAGCAGAAACTAAATCGTTATAAACTCCTTCATAAATGGATTAACAGGAAAAAGAAGCCGCGTGTTGAACCGTTATAAACACACAAAATACATTTATCACGTTTATGAGCGGAACAGTTGAACGCCCTGTAAAAAAAAAACTAATCTCAAACCATAGAATGAAATATTTAAAGTGTTTCAAAAGACAAACCTTAGTGAAAAGCTCGTCAACTGCCTCCAACGAACAGAGACTAACGAGCGCGAGCGTTGAATTTATACTACTGTCAAGTCTCGCGATAACTGAGCACAGGACGTGATTACAGTTCCCCTGACTTCTCTGCTTCTACACGCTCAACACTCAGGATGACTTAGCAGTTTCCTAACACTTTTCAGGATGACTTAGCAGTTTCCTAACACTTTTCAGGATGACTTAGCAGTTTCCTGACACTTTTCGGGGAATGCAAATGACGCAAATGTATTATTGTAAAAATGTTAATCAAAGATGTGAAGAAGGATGGAAGAACTGAAAGTGAGAAATGCATTTTTCCAATGTTTAAGTAATCATTCAATCATCATTAATACACCTCTATGTCTGCTCAAATTAAACAGAATTATTCATTAGAAACTGGCACGACCAGGTTTCACTGACTTAAGATTCCCTGCAGGTTCATAACCATCAATAAGTCTGTAAAGGAACAGGTTTTGGCTTAATACCGTGAGAACCGATCAACAGAGGATGCAATCTCCTCTGTGGTCCACACTGCGCTCAACCACCTGGAGCAGAAAAACTCTTACGTCCGTATGCTCTTTGTGGACTTCACATCCGCCTTCAACACCATGATCCCCCAAACCCTGATGGACAAACTATCCACACTAGGACTAAGCCCCTCCATCTGCAACTGGGTACTAGACTTTTTAACAAACAGACCACAGTTAGTGAGGATCCACAACCTCTCCTCCTCCACCATAACCCTCAGCACTGGCTCTCCTCAGGGATGTGTGTTGAGCCCCCTCCTGTTTACTCTGCTCATGTATGATTGTGCAGCTACCCATCCAGGCTGTCACATTGTAAAGTTTGCAGATGATACAGCGGTGGTGGGATGCATCACAAACAATGATGAGTCCAGCTACAGGCAAGAGGTGGAACACCTGGAGAGCTGGTGCAGAGAGAATAACCTTCACATCAATGTGAAGAAGACAAAGGAGATGATTGTGGACTTCAGAAGGAACAAAAACACCTACACCCCCCTGAACATAAGAGGATCTGCGGTGGAAGTGGTCTCCAGCTACAAGTACTTGGGTGTACACATGAATGACAACCTCAGCTGGAGCAACAACACCACCAGCCTGATCAAAAAAAGCTCATCAGAGACTCTACTTCCTCAGGCGGCTGAGGCGAGCTGGTCTGGGAAGCTCAGTCCTCACCTCCTTCTACAGGTGTGCAGTGGAGAGCATCCTGTGCTCGAGCATCAACGTGTGGCATGGAGGCTGCACAGCTGCAGAAAGAAAAGCTTTGCAGAGAGTGGTGAAGGCTGCACAGAAATCTGTTGGAATCAGCCTCCCCACCATCACAGACATCTACACCTCCAGATGCAGGAAGAGGGCCACCTGCATCATGAAGGACCCCACTCACCCAGCACACACACTTTTTGCCCCACTCCCCTCAGGAAGGAGGTTAAGGAGCATTAAGTGTAGAACCACTAGACTGAGGAACAGCTTCTACCCTGAGGCTGTTAGACTCATGAATCTCTAACTAGAATAATCACTGTGAAAAACCATATCATGTTGCTGCTGATCTGTTTCATGTTGCTGCTGATCTGTTTCAATGTTGATGTGTTCATGCGTGCACATCTTCTCACAGACTCATGTTCATGTTTGTGCTGATGTTCAATGTTTTATGCTATTAGTGCTTAGTGTATATTTAGTTGATGTTTTTCTTAGTTCATATCTTAGATGTTATTACTGTTTTTCTTATACATTTTATTGTTGGATGTAACTGGGACCCCGTGTACATAATTTCACTCCACCACATGTACCACATGAGGTGCGAATGACAATAAAGAAACTCTGACTCTGACTTAATGTCATAATAAACCCTGAATTAAACCTTTTAATTAAGTTAAATTCAGTTTATTTATATAATGCCAAGTCACAGGAGAAGTCATCACAGGGCACTGAACAGAAATATACATAGTTAATGCTATTTATCTGAGGAGGTGACTGCTTTGAATTTAAGTGCATCGCAGACCTCTCATCTTGAGCAAACATAAATGGCAACAGTGGAAAGTAAAAACTCCCTCGTGAGCAGGCGTCTGCAACCTGCGGCTCTGGAGCCACATGTGGCTCTTTGGTCCCTCGTGCGTACCGTTTCGGTTATTTTTTTCACTCATAAAATTTTATGAACGAGAGATTATGCGCCGCAGAACTAAAGTTCCTAAGCGTGTTTCAGCACGGCGCTATTATCTTGCAGCACGCGTAGCATTAGCAGCCTAGCATCTTGTTGCGGTCTCCTGTTTGGGAGCATTATGTCTTTCTTGTTAAAAGACAAGTGAACAAATCCAAAGCTGTGTGTCGACGTTGTTTCATGGAGAATGGATCTGCCGCAGCAACACGTCCAACTTGTTAACGCTCTTGAAACGACATCATCCGAACATGAACGTCTCTTCTACAAGCAAGATAAGCAGCTTGTTGCAAACACCGATAACAGCAGCATTTAAACAACCTTTATCAGGTAATTCAGATCGATCCAAAGCAATAACACAAGCTGTAGGAGTTTTTAAAGCTCTGGATCTACGTCTGAATGTTGTTGATTCGCCGACTTTAAGTATAAAGTTCTTGAGCCCCGCTGTCTACGACGTCCCATCACATCAACACTTCAGCCAAAAAGTTGTAGCAGCACTTTATGAAAAAGCTAAAACTGATATTGTCAACAAGCTCGACCCCCGATTTAAAGCCCTGCCACATCTATGATGATGAGCGGAAGAGAATATTCAACCACCTCATATGATGACCGTGCAAGAAAAGGTATTGTATTATTGTGAACTAATTCACTTTTTTAATTTAAAATTATAATCTTATTAACTCAACTGTTTTTATCTCTGTGTTGTTTGCAGTCTGAGGATGATAGCAGCTGAGTCTTCTTCATCCATCAGATCACATCCAACTAAAAAGTATGTAATAATTGAACTTGTTTACTTGGCATTTTGTCTAAATAAACATTTTGTAAGTCTTTATTTTGGCCTTTTTGTACCGAAAATTAATCGAACCAAGCCCTCCTTGCAACTGAACCGAACTGAAATGTGATTTTAGCGTTACACCGTTACACCCCTAGTTGTTATACAAACAACAAAAAGCTGTTTTCCTGTCATTTATTTTGAAATACTTACTTTAACATTTTGCTTTATTTCTATACTTAATTGTTTTTTTCACAATTTAAGTTGTGTACTCAAGGTCCCAGTTACACCCAAAAATAGCAAAAATATAAAGTATAAAAAGGAAACAGTATACAAGGATCAAAGATATGTGCTAAACAATAATAATATAATACAATACGGAGTATTAAACAGCATCCTGAACATGAATCTGTTGTGAGCATATGGAAATGAATACAGCAGCTTATGGGTAAAAACATCAGCAGCATGGATAATCAGCAGCACAAAAAGTGTCAAATCTCCAATTAAAGTGGCATTCCAGTGATTATTCTGGTTAGGGATTCATGAGTCTAACAACCTCAGGGTAGAAGCTGTTCCTCAGTCTAGTGGTTCTACACTTAATGCTCCTTAACCTCCTGCTTGAGAGGAGCGGGGCAAAAAGTGTGTGTGCTGGGTGAGTGGGGTCCTTCATGATGCAGGTGGCCCTCTTCCTGCATCTGGAGGTGTAGATGTCTGTGATGGTGGGGAGGCTGACTCCAACATCTTCTGTGCAGCCTTCACCACTCTCTGCAAAGCTTTTCTTTCTGCAGCTGTGCAGCCTCCATGCCACACGTTGATGCTGGATAAGAAAGTTTAATTGGCATTTTATTCTTTGTTCAGATTGATTTGTACAATCATTCTTCTGCATATTTCAGCAACTGTTGCTCTTTAAGCCTTTCACTGCCTTTTCTGTTACCGGTACTTGCTTTAAAATTATTTCTTCTAATTTTAGCATTTTACTGCTTCTTCTAACTTTTTTGTTAATTTTTGCTTTTTTATTCTATCAGCTTCTTTCTACTATTTTCATCTTTTCTCTGTTTTTTCAGATAATTTCTACTGTTTTCTTTTTTTGCATTCCTTTCAGATTCTTCTTTCAAATTATTTAAGCTATTGGTGTATTTCAAGCAAGCTTGAGCTTGTTTAGCAACTTTCAGTAAAAATAATTAAGAAATAAACATTAACACTGCATTTGTGCGTAAAAATGATATTTCTCTATAAGTGATCTTAACATACAAAAAATAATTGTTATAAATCAGTGAATTTTAACAAAACTGAGCTAAAATTCTTAATCTGACAATATGTGAAACAGTTTTTCAGCTAATATTCACTCATCTCACTTTACCTGTAAAATACAGAGCTTTTTCACCTCATAAAGCCTCATTCTCCTTTTCTCCTTTTGTTGTCACCAAAGCAAAGTGTTTGCATGTTGTTGCCATAGTGCTACATCAAGGACCAGATGAGAGGGAAGCACATAATAAGCTCTAGTTAGAAGCACCGCCATCGGTTGCTGATCAAACACTGCCTTGTGCTCAATTCCTGTCTCGCAGTATCCTTCGTGAATATTCTCTGCTACTGGTTCTAAAGCTGCTGGATGTCCGATGGGCACTTGTTGTGCCAGCATCCTGGTTTCATTCAGCTTTGGAGAACAACAAAATATAGCTATCACATCACTGATGTGTCCAGACATAAAAAGCCGAAACAGAGGTAGATTTCTTCTAGTAACAGTAACTTTACACAGGCTTTGAGATAGATATACTTTATTAATCCCAGGGGAAAATGTGAGGCATCCAGTAGCATGTTCTACTTATACAGAAAAAATAAATATGAAATAATCAAAAAAGCAGCAGAATACACAAATTTAGAAAAAGACAATAGATGCCAAAGGTGGTAGTGAGTACTACATTCATGATTAACCTACTGTATATATATATATGTAGCACTGAGGGAGTGGTTATCTTTTAAAAATGAATATGAACGTTATAATGGAAAATGTTAATTCTTTAGTCAATTTGCAATGAGTGAAAACCAACAACGCCACCTGGGATTATACTCCAGGAA